TCCAAGCAGATCCTACATGGCAAGGCAGTATCTATTGGCCAGGGGAGTGTCCATTAGCCATCTCCAAGCAGATCCTACGGTGGCAAGGCAGTATCCATTGGCCAGGGGAGTGTCCATTAGCCATCTCCAAGCAGATCCTACGGTGGCAAGGCAGTATCCATTGGCCAGGGGAGTGTCCATTAGCCATCTCCAAGCAGATCCTACGGTGGCAAGGCAATATCCATTGGCCAGGGGAGTGTCCATGAAACAGGCTAGAAACAAGGACATTTTTGGGAAACTACTTCACAATGGATGTCAAGACTTGTTCTTGACATTGGGACTAGCCACGAATACCAAAATGTCACAAATTTTTTTAGAAAGAACTGTTTTAGTGTTGCATTTCATTTGGAAACAAACATTCCTAGGAAGGATTTTACGAGCTGTTAAATACAGCGCTTTTTCGTCAATATTTCTGCCATTTTAGTTTTCATGTGTCCAATGACTATTTCTTGTTCCTTTCTGATGAGAGATCAAAGTTGCAGAAATTTAATCCAATTATTTTCTATACCATTTCAAATTGTAACGTGTGTATTTGGTTACTACATGTACCTTGTACTAGTATGTGACTCTATTTGCTTAGTTCACTTGCAAGAAATAAAACTAAGAACCACCCATCATCAAATAATGATAAAAAAAGAAGTTGACACAGTTAGAGGTGCTCTAGGGCAGAGTTCTGCCCAAATAATTTAATCAACTCACAGCAAATAACAAATCTCCATGTGTGGATGAATACAAACTTGACATCATTTAATTGAACTAGAGTCGACCTATCACAACGCTGTTGCCATGGTTACATGTACTGTTGCCATGGCAACATAAACTGTTGCCATAGTTACCTGGAATGGCAAGCACCAGAGTCGACGGAAAGGGCCAGAATCCAGTGACAAACGAATTTCTCTAAAACCTCTCGACGATTTTTACGTCTAGTACACAATTTGACTCCTATTCATATCTCTCAGTAATACCATAATTAGTAATTCATCATCATCACTTAAATCTAGATTTAATTAATACAACATTTTCTTCTTATCTTTTCATAAAAATCTTGTAGACATCGACTGTGTAAAGATATCACTTTCTTAACTCTCGCTTATTAAGTACTCAGAAGGAATTTTCATCCTCGATTCCTTTCGGTAAAAGATTATACAACAAGAGGTGGGAAATCTTGCCACTGGATCCCTGGTAGAGAGGCCTTCCCCTTTACGTTTAATAGTGAGTTGGTTATTGTGGCAGTTTCTTCTAGTACATGTTTCCGTACGACTAGCCCTTATGTGTGGAATAGAACTGATACAAGCGGGTGGTGGGTTGTATTTTTGCCCAACGTTTATCTAAAAAAGAAATCTCAGTATTCTACAGCAGATATGACTTATTGTGATGCTACTAATTTGTTTTTTTCTGTGTGCTTGCCATTACAAGATAGGAGCAGCAGTATACATAGTACTAAGCTTTTGACTTAAAAAACAACGCTAGGTACAAAAAGCGTATGAAGCTCCTGAGAAACGAAAAGCCACATTTCGGGGAGGGCACGGAAAAATCTCGTTTTTGACATTGCACAAAATCTAGGCTGGCGAAAAAACTGTCCCCCAAAACAGTATCACACAATTCAAGACTTTATTTCTTCATCATCATCATCATATATACGCACAAGTATACTGTGTCAGGGTTAGTAACCTGTATCTCACACACCACAATTGGTACATTGTATCTACATATGTCCGTGAGAATACCACGTTGTATCCACGATACAACATTCACAAAAGTTCTGGGGGACAATCTCCGGCCAACCATGTACGTACGTAGTATAGTCTTCAAATAAAAAAACGGGTGAAAAAAATTCTTCATCTTTGCACATTCTCTGATTTCCTGTATAGATACACATTTAATATACACTACACCAAAACGGTTCTTCTCTATCTGTTCGGACCTATCCAACAGTCTAAGGGATCAGAGCACTATCTATTATAGCCACACCATGATCATACTTGGTTATATAGAATGATATACACTCATCGGGTGTCTAAGCAGCAAAACCCGCTGGACTGACCCCAGCCAGAGGAAGAAATGGCACTAGAACATGTACACTTGGGGGGAGGGGGGCGGAGATGTATGTAGGTACACCCCTATGTTCCGACATCCCTAGTTTCAAACATCCTTCATTGTTAGCCTCTATAGCATGCCAAAAACTGGGGGTTTTGGGGGTCTTCATGGTCTTTGGGAGCTTTTATGTACTATTTTCTGATTGCATATAGACAACATAGCTGGCCTGGTTGAATATCCCCGTTTTTGGACAGGCTTAGAACTGGGCTGATCAGAAAACAACCGAAGACCACCACACCCCCAGTTCTATAAGCCTACTACGGAGGCTACTACATTGTAGTGTGGGTCAAAAACAGTAAAATTTATTAGCCAAATAGGGAAAATAATTGGCCAGACTCTAGCCACTGAAGAGTTCATTTGCCCGTTCAGTTATGGACCAACTTCCCTGGCCAATCAGACCCTATTTTTGCCAAATTCTAACCCTCTTGAGCCTCTACTAGGCACCGCGGATCGCTGGAAAAATAGTAGAAATTGGCCAAAATATAAAGGGATAGTTTACCGGAGAAGATCCCGGGCCATAGAAGATCCAATTCACGACCCACGGGTATACTATCCCTTCATTTTGGCCAATTTCTACTATTTTTCCAGCGATTCGCGGTGCCTGGTAGAGGCTAAACCCCCTTAGAAAGGCCTAGTGGAGGCTACTTTTTTCAACGCGGAACATGGAACATAAAGGGTGTCAGAACATAGGGATGTCACTGGTTATGTCATATGCCACTTTGAAAGACAGTTTTCAGATAGAAAACATAGACAGAGAAGATGAAACAATACATGCTTATCAAAATATTTTTTGGCCCAGACCTTTAACAAAGTATTGACCAGTAAGTACCTTTCTACATGTAACAATATTGCTTCTTAAACATCAGATTTCCTCCATATTTTGAGGACATCCGGAGAAGTTGCACATAAAAGTTGACGGAAATACACAGACCATTCTGACTTATACTAACAGATACATTAGTAATTATACATAAAACATAATTATTAAACATAACACAAGTTGGGAAGAGCAACATTTGACAACTATGTGTGTCTTTCAAACTAGCATAATGACAGGTTTTGTTTGAGTGGATGTAGAAATATATCAAGCAAATAAAAAAGTACAGTCATTTTAGACAGTATAACAGAGATCTGTACAAAAACCTGAAAGAAAAATTTGCGGGAACACAGTTCAACGTTTTCTTTAAGATTCTGAAAGGCACCTTGGCTGAAGGAAGAACTTCCTACTCCATAATATGTTCCGCATCCCAGAATGCACCACACACACGTGTGCAGTGCATCATGGGACACCCCGTGCAACTCCAGCAGCTTGGTGTACTTTGACCTCTGACCTCTGACCCAAGATTGAAAGCGTTTTTTTCTTTTTTGCTCATCTCCTAGACTACGACGACAGTGCACGTTCACATATCATATTACCGACAACGTTTACGTGGTGAGAGGCGTATGGCTGGTGGCTCCGAGCATGGGACGTTGGAAACTTTGTCTTTTACCCGACAAACAGACATCAGAGAACATCAGAGAGTTAAAGGCAACACTACCGTAACAGTACCAATAGAGAGAGAGGAGAGAGCACGTCGGCAGAACGTACTGCGCCTACGCGAAACCTGTTTTTTTTTACGGTTTTCGTTATAGGTGTTTGGGCAACGTTGCATCGGATATCTTTTCCGACACAACATTTGAAGACTACAGACAGAGTTACCCTTAAAGACACAACCTTATACAATACGTAGAAGTGCTGTACACGTTACCTTACAGGTTTTTCGTAGGCGCAGTACGCTCTGCCCACGCATTTAGAGAGGCAACCTAGTTAGTTAGTCACGTGACTGAACGCTAGAACTACACAATGTACGTGTGTGGCTACAAAAATACCATAATTATCTATGTGGTACTGGAGCGTTCCAGGAGTCGAATATCGTACTGTTTCTGCGGTGGTCTCAACTTGAAGTGTTCGCTACTGACGGTCTTTAGAGTGTTCTGCGCGGCCGATTTGGTCGTGAAGACGGCGAGAACAATATAGTCTGACACCAAGTCCGAGCTTTTCCCGCCCCCCTCGCCGCCGCGCCGACCCCCTCCCCCCTGGCGTGACTCCTGGAGCCAGCGAATCTTGCCGCCGACCTTGGTGAGGTCCTTGAAGAGTGACTCCGTTTCGTGTCTCTTCAGACCCTCCGGCAGGTCGAACACTTCCAACACATGGCTCAGCACTGCAGAAACACACAGAAAAACACAATCTTTAACAGTTAAAAACCTTAACAGACAAGAGGATAGCCTCCATAGCATGCCAAAAACTGGGGGTTTTGGGGGTCTTCAGGGTCTTTGGAAGCTTTTATGTGCTATTTTCTGATTGCATATAGACAACACAGCCGGCCTGGTTGAATTACCCCCATTTTTAGAACTGCTAATCAGAAAACAGCTGAAGACCACCAAACCCCCAGTTTGATAAGCCTGCAACGGAGGCTACAAGGGGAACTGTATTAGGGCTGGTTATACCCTGGGAGCCAGTCACCAGTATTGGGCCGTTAGCCGTTTCTCTTTGGTAGCCAAGAGTACACAGTAATGTAGCCAGCTGCTGCCACGCCACGTACCTGCGAAGCTGGTGTGTTACACCGAAGGGCGGTTATACCGGCTATACAGATACAGAAGCTGGTGTGCTACACCGAAGGGCAGTTATACCTGCTATACAGATTAAAAGCTAACAGCCTGATACTAGTCTGGCTCCCTGGGTATGCTGGTTAGTAAGAGTGGTTTAATCTCCAAGCAGATGTTTTGGGATGTTAAATCTTTCCAAACTGCCTTTTCTTAGTCTGTGTTAAGCAATCTTTCACTGTCAGGGGCTGGAAGGGCCTCCTCCCTGAGAGCTTGTGGCCATACACCTCTAACATAGCCTGTGCTAACTCTGGAGAACCATTCCCATTTGCAGTTCCCATTCCCATTTGCAGTTCCCATTCCCAGGACTACCAATAGGAGCTCAGGATACTTTAACACTATGAAAATCTGTCCAATACGAGCTCAGAATTTTGTGACTATAAAAAGTCTGTCCAATAGGAGCTCAGGATGATTCAGAAGGAAAACTGGAATCTGACTTTTTTCACTCCTGAAACTGTGTGAACCAAGATACAGACTTTCCCCTCAGACTCTGTTTTGATATACTGGTAGATATTCAAATCTAGCATAATTTTTCTAGATCTAAGCTCCAAAAGTGTTGTGGCCTACTATCAAGTCACCATGGTTGTGTTGTTAGTATTCAAGCTGAACATATAATGCATAAGAGCAGGAGGGGGGGTGTATGTAACAAAGCATCGGTTATAACCAGGATTGTCGCATGCGTAAATTGTATGTGTGCGCAAACCAAACTTCAGCCATGTTGGTGAAGGTTAGACATCCAGGTAATAAGATATGCCAAAAGACAGTTATTCAAGCAACTGGATAATTATGATTTTGAAAATGGTCAGATGTTTGGCAACGGTCAGACGCTTTCTAAAAAGTCTCCAGTGTCACTGATGAAAGGTAGTTTGGTTTGGTTTTCCTTTAATGCCCACGATCATGATAATGATCATTCTGGCATACTCATTTTCACCTAAGCAAAGTGAGGAAATTAGTGTAAAGTGCCTTTCCCAAGGGCACAAGGTTGATGACTTGACAGGATTCGAACCCAGGACCTCTTGGTTCTGAGTCAAATGCTCTGCCACACTACCTGAAACATCTGACCGTTTCCAAAATCATACCGTTGCTTGAATAACTTCTTGGCAAATATCAGCCAGTACGATCGAACACACGCAAAAAAACACAGCCAAGCCCAGACAAGAGAAATCATCACTCATCATCACTACATGCCAAACGTGAGGGAAAATTGGAAACAAAAAGAAATAAAAGCTTAGGCTACACCAATTTAATTTCTTGGTTAACGGATTTGTCTGCTTCAATTTTTTTCTGATTTGCAAAAAAAAAAAATTCAGAATCAACTGCAAAATGCTCATATTTTGCCCTGAACAGTTGAAAACAGTCCTTTTCTTCCTAGTTGTTACAGTTATTCCATCTTTCAATGCAGTGGCATCATTAAAAGTTCAAAATTCATTGTTTGAACCAGCCTGGTGTGTTGACTTCATGGCTCCTATCGTACCATTTGGGGCCATAATAGGATGCCTATATATATATAGGACTGTTTTTATCTTTTTTTTTGCCCGCCCGCTCCATTATTTTTCTAGAAAAATCCGTTAACCAAGAAATTAAATTGGTGTGGCCTTATATGTACCCTTTGGGATTTTCTTCTTGTCATAATAGTCTTCGTATTCACGACTGAACCTCTGGGGCCTTCGGGGACCTACGGAGGAGAGAGTGGCCCAGCCACGAGGGCAGCTTACAATCAGAGAAACACAAACATGTCGCAAATTAACTTTTCTTGAGTTCCTACTTTTTTTTTCCAACATGTAATCACCAGACGTGGTGATGGCACACTCAAGTTTTTTCAACTTATATTAATGCCGCCACCGACACAGGGGACAAATACATGACAGGACAATACTCATTTTCAACTGAGCGAAGTGAGGAAAGTCGTGTAAAATAACTTTCCCATTTTAGGGCACAAGATCGGTGGCATCTCGAACCCGGGACCTCTTGATTCCGAGTTGCGCACGCTGCCATTGCGCCACACGACCCCACACATTTTCTTCCTATTGTCCCAGCACTGTCCCAAAAGTAAATTTCAATTGTCCCGAAGTGAGAATGAACTGTCCCAATCTGTTTTTGGCAAGTAATAATTGTATGACTTCAACTTGAAGTCAACTTGATTTTGCTTATCACTATAATTGCAGAGTAGACAAGGAATTCAGGGGGACTTTTCCGGATTCATAAGCCTGGACGTGTGCCTGATAAACAAAAGAAGGGCTGACATTCTGATATTGATCATTTTTCTACTGTCCCAAAAATGTTCCAAAGTGTCTTTTTAGTTGTCCCAGCCTAAATTTTAGTGGTCAGTGGCCATTGGACCACCTTTAATTTCGAGCCCTGGAGACATCTCGCAAATAAAATGTCAGGTTTTTTGTTGTACCGTGTGGAAAATAAACGGAACCAACAACGACTCTCATAATTCCATTGGTTACTGTAAGACTGCCACAATAAAAAAAAAATTATGTAATTCTCTTTTTTTGTTCATGTTACTTTTTTCTTATGTGGCAGTCTTAGCTAAAGAGCGCCTTGGAATTATGAAAGTAGATGTTTTGTGTATTTCTTGTATGATTTTCTTTTTTCAGCAGTAAATGCTGCAATGTTGAATGAAGGTGCTTGTTTGTTTATTTGTTTGTTTACTTCGAGCGACTCACCTTGTTCTGACTCCGTGGGCACTTCTGCAGAGCGGGCCTTCTTGGGGCCTTTTCTCTGCTGCTGTTTGGAACCCTTCCCCCCCTGCTGCTGCGATGGTTGAGCCCCACCCTGCTGTGAAGACTGCTGCTGCTGCTGGGGATATACCACTTTGGGGCGGACTTGGGGGGCGAACTGGAGGGGCTGGGCAAGCACAGGTGCGGGGAATGCTGCAAAAACAAAGGCAACATTTAGTACGACCAATTTATCAATTAATCAATCAATCAATCAATGAATCAATCAATCAATCAAATGGTTAACAAACAAGAACTTGTAGTCGTTGGCCAAATTGTGTCTTGCTGTTTGATTTCTTGCATTTCTGGCAAAATTAATCAAAATTGATAAGTTATTCGATAAAACCAACCAACCAATCAGTCAATCGATCAATCAATCAAACAATCAACAGGATGGATACTAGGAAACACAAAACATAATAGCCAAACAAAAACAAAACAACCCCCAACGAAAACCTCTGCTTGGAGAGTAAAGTAAAACTCACATTGGCCCTGTATAAGAGGTCTGCCGAACTGTGCAGGAGGTATTATAATCCCAGTTCTAACAGGGCTGGCATGTGCTGCCTGTGGTGACTGGGAGGGGGAGGGGCGGGGAGAACCTCCCTGGTGGTTCTGTTGGTAGAGATCGGACTTGGGCATTCTCCCATCGTACGACTTACGCTGCTGCTGTTGTTGTGAGAACGGCTGTGACGCCTACGGTACAGGGGGAAAGGAAAGAAACGGAGGTTTTGACTTACTTTCAATTCTGCTGGACATCCTCCCACTGTGGTGCTAGTTGTGTGGACAGGAGAGGGAGAGGGGAGCACAGAGGGAGAGAGACATGGAGTTAGACACAGTGCATCACTTTGGTCCTTCAATATTTGTGTTAGCTTAGATACAGTACTTAACATGTTATCTTTAAGTTGTTATTGTTAGACACACAAGTCTAGGAACAAAGAAATAGGAATGCAGGGTTAGTGTATGTAGTGTATACTGTAGTTTAATTTTTTTACACAACCAGTGAAAACTCTCCCCTGCTTACATTTCAATGGCTGCCAGACATCTTCAGAGCATTTGTACAATCAATCATGTACATGTAGATGTCTGGCAGGCATCGAAACATATGCAGAGGAGAGTCTTCACTAGTTGTGAAAAAGAAAACCTTATATATTATGTTCTAAAACCTAAATAAATGATTTTTGGAAGTTACTGTTAGTAGTATGTTGGTCAAGTTGTGAGGCTGGTACATTGTACATTATTGAGCAAGAGATAGAGACAGTACAGTACATGACTTGTGTATTCAAAACTCAACGTTAAAACTAAAAATCACACAGTTCTTGAATCTGTATAGTGGGCACTTCGTGTATATTACTAAGATTATTACTCTCACTCTGCAAACATTTGTGTAGAAGATGTGTAATTATTGTCCTTAGAATTTTTAATGATTGAATACATCAATTTTAATATTGTATTACATATTGTATATTGTAACGATTTTAACTGAAAATGTGCAACTACTTAAGTTAGACTGACCCGTCTGTAAAATTGCCTCAGTTCAGCCCGTTACAGCTGCCAGGAGGCATTTATGTAACACATAAAGTCCTAGTAAACCAGTCTACTACTACTACTATTTTGTTTGGATTCTGTCATCTGTACCTTTGATTCTCTTTTGTTTAGGTATTATTTATACTCAAACGGTGTCGTATAAGCCCACACGGCCTGGGCGCGGGAAAGCGCACGACACGAAAATAAAGTTTCATTTCATTCATTCACTACTACCTGTGGGGGTGGTGAGGACGTCCCTGATATCTGTACAGTGTGTGTTACCTGTAATGGGCCATACCATTACCTGTGGGGGTGGTGAGGACGTCCCTGATATCTGTACAGTGTGTGTTACCTGTAACGGGCCATACCATTACCTGTGGGGGTGGTGAGGACGTCCCTGATATCTGTACAGTTGGCGCGGGCCTCTGCTGGGTGGATCTGCTGGCGTAGCTTCCCGAGGAGAAGGTTTGCGGGGAGGTGGGCGGAGATTGCACGTTGTAGGCCTGTGATTGGTGCATCTGGGGAGACGGCGCGCGCTGCTGCGAGTACGCAAATGTCACGTACTGACCCGACATCACCTGGGAGGGGAAAGGGAAAATCACAGATAGTCAGGTTAACCCTCATCATGCCTAGCCTCCATAGCATGCCAAAAACTGGGGGTTTTGGGGGGTCTTTTCGGATTGCATATAGACAACATAGCAGGCACGCGGCGGCGCGGCGGCAGCTGGCTATATTACACTGATCGACTTGTTACACCTAGCCCTTGGACATCTAGCTCTAGACATTGTTTAAAGCTATCTAATGACAATGCCCCTACTGTGCTTGGTGACAGCGAGTTCCACTCTACGATAGTTCTAGGAAAGAATGATCTGTATCAAGCTCAAGACTTGCTAAGATCAGCCAAAAACTTGCCCAGATCATCCCAGGACTTGCTAAGACCTAAGACAGTTACCTGTTGTCCCTGTGAGGGTGAGGGGGGTCGTCCCATCTGTGACTGGTCGGAGGGGGAGGGGTGGAGGGGGGAGGGGGTACATGTACACTTACCTGCTGTCCCTGTGAGGGTGAGGGGGGCCGTCCCATCTGTGACTGGTCGGAGGGGGAGGGGTACGCCACCACAGCTGGAGCCGTGCCTGAGCAGGGAACCATGTAGTACGACTGCATTGGAACCTGGGAGGGAGACGGGGGAGATTTGGATTATTACAAATCTCTATTCTTTAGTCTTTATACAAGCAGTGTACAAAGTACTTTTCTGAACCAGGTTGCCCAGTGCAACCTATGGCAAAAATTAGGTTGCCCATCAGAATTTTAGGTTGCCCCACCTATAAGTTACTTCTTTCCTCAAATTAAGTAAATGTTAGTAATACATACATAAGCCTTTAAGGCCTTTAGTTAACTGATACTAGTAATAGCCATTAATACCTAAAATTAAAAAGCATCTGCCCAATACAGTGGAGCAAACATGTAACTACCAACACAGATGAACTTTCATGATAGCATTCCCCACCTGTTGCTGCATGCCTTGCTGCCCCTGCCCCACCCCCACGGGCTGGAACCCCTGCCCCGGGGCAGTCACCCCCTGGGGGGTCTGTATGGTGGGGATCTGGTAGGACGGGTACTGGGGGACCTGCTGGGGGGACAGAGAAAATGGTTTATTCAATATAAAAAATCTTCACATGCACATATTATGTGGTGACAGGAGTCTAAATCCCTCCTACTATAAAGTTGCAACATTACGTAACCCAACAACACCAGTTGCCATGATGGTGAGAGACAGTCTGGTCATTGACCAGGTCAGAGGTCAGTGTTTGGAACGGAAGAAGAAGAAGAAATACTTCAAATAGAGCAAAAACAATATCATACTACTACAGTAACAGTTACTGCTACTGCTACTACTCAGTACTACTACTATTACTAACAGAATAAGGTAGTGACCTGCTGTGGGGACAGAAGGGTGTGCTGCTGCTGACTGTACTGCCCCGATGGAAGTGGGACCTGCTGTCCAGACGCCTGCAGGAAAAGTTTATATGTATTAACTGTAGTATTAGACCCAGGAGAAACTCTAGTGTGAGAAACACTCCTTGCACAATTGTGTTTTTTTATAAGAGGAAGGGGTTATGATGATTTTTTTTAGTCCATGCTTGAAACATGAAGTTTAAATGTCTGAGACCAAAGTGGAACTCAAGTGTGAGGCACATGTATCATGAATTTAAGTTGTATATACTATTAGACACCTGAAGAAGATTTTAGACACCTGGTTATATGCTACATGTGCATGTCCTTATCACATAATGCCATCTAGCTAGTAAAACAATGACAGTTATGTGAGCTTTGATACTTTGACACTCAGAAAGGTCTAAAAATTTCAGCATGAAAAACTGCAGTGTTTTACCTGTTGCTGATGCTATTTGTTTGTAATAGAAGTTTGTAACTGCAGTTTTTAACAAATTTTTCCACAGATAGACCAGTTTGATATAATCACACACGTTTTGATTTTTAAAAAAAACAACAGTATTTTACCTGTTGCTGCTGCTGCTGCTGTGCCGGTGCCACGTACATGGGGACCACGGCTCGGAAACCCTGCGGAAGCTGGTTTGGGGGCAGAAAGTACACAGGAACCTGGATCACAACAAAGAATCACACACAATCACACACTGACGCTATAGTCCTTCAAACTAGATCACAACAAACTAAGGATCACACACAATCACACACTGACGCTATAGTCCCTGGATCACAACAAAGGATGACACACAATCACACACTGACACGCCAGTCCCTTAAACAACCAGGGATTCAATTGTGGCAAGTTTTTGATATAGTCCAAAACTTCATTTACCGTACGGGTACATTTGTAGATTCTCGTAATTGATAAATCACCAACTTGTCTTGTTTGTATTTATCTTGTATGCATGTGTCTTTTTAATGTGTTTTATACTCGTTGTATGTTTTTGAGTAGAAGGTGTCATATAAGCAACTCTTGCTTTTTGCCTCATACTCAATAAATATATGTGAATAAATAAATAAAAAACTGTGGCAAGTTTGTAACAGTTCATATTCAAGTGTCTCTTTGTAACAGATATACGAACTTTTAGCATTGCTGTTCCTAGGAACTTTTTGATTACAAAAACTTCAGTGTTTTTTACTTGGATCACAAGAAAGGATCACACACAATCACACACTGACATCATTCCTGCAAGCAACCATGGTCTCAACTGTAGCAAGAAGTTTGTAATTACTGTATAGGATTAGGAGTTTGTAAGAGTAACTGTTGTTGTAACTGTTGGTATTCAAAGGCCACAGACATTTGATACAAACAGACACTGACACCATTCCTACAAGTTATGATGGCTCCAACTGTAGCAGGCAGTTTGTAACAAATGTTTGCTACAGACACATTTGATACAATCACACACTGTCACCAGTTTCCCTAAATAACCAGTAATTTAACTGACTTTGTAACACCAGTTTGTAACAGTTGTTTGTAACAGTTGTTTGTAACAGTTGTTTGTAACAGTTGTTTGTAACAGTTGGTATTCAAAGACCTCTTTGCCACAGATACATTTGATACAATCACACACTGTCACCATTCCCAATTAATCTGGACACACATCGTGATTCTTAACATCACAGAGTATCAGTCTCTGAGAAATTGTCAGTCAATGTGTTCAAGACTAATACCCAGGAAATTCAGATTTTTTCAATTTTTTATCTAGCCCATACTATGTAAAAACTGATTCACAAATTTTTAAAGAAAAAAAATTAAGTTGAAGTCTTCAGGCAACACATCTAGGAAACAGCATAAAATAGTGATATTTGCATCCACACACACTTTTTATTTTCTATAGTTTTTTTGCATGCATCACTGCACACTTAATTTACACACTCATGATACTTAATGGTGAACACAATCCGAGCAGGTGATTGGCCAATTCAAAATATCCCCAGCACGTGATTGGCCAACATGTGATTATCTCCACCACTGTGATTGGCTAGAAGTCACAACACCATGCCATATTAGGAGTGCCTGTGAGTCAACCAACACAATATTCCAGGCAGGTGATCGGGTTACATACATGCCTGTCAATCAAACGAATGAGGGCACGTGATTGGTTAGTGGTGGCCACACCCCCTCACCTGATTGGGGCCTGGTTCGGACCCTATGTATTGCTGTTGGTCCCCAAACTGTGGGTCTGAGCCCATGTAAGCGGGCTGGGGGGCAGGGTACCCCACCTGCACTGGGCAGTACACTATGTAGCCACCGTCTCCAGTGGGCTAGAGGCATACGGGTATGGTTCATTAGGTAATGAGACCACTGACCACTAAAATTTAGGCCACTGACCACTAAAATTTAGGCTGGGACACCTGAAAAGTCACTTTGGGACATTTTGGGGACAATAGAAAAATAATCAACATCAGAATGTCATCCCTACTTTTGTTGATCAGGCATGCATCCAGGCTTTTGGCTAAAAAAATCCCCACAAATTTATACTTTGCAATTATAGCCCGCCTGGGAGTCAGAACATAAGAAAATTAAGCTGACCTCAAGTTGCTGTCATACATACTAGTACTTCCCAAAAAACAGGTTCAACTTCACTTCGGGATAGTTGAAATATATTTTTGGGACAGTGCTGGGACAATCAGAAAAAAAGTAAATTTCGAGGCCTTGTAAGAAGTGGCACTACTCAGAAGTAGACCGTTCCTTACCTGTTGCATGCCCCCCTGTACAAACGGCTGTTGACCCATGACCTGCTGTGCCTGACTGTGCTGGTAGGGGGCCGGCGGCTGCACCGGGGATGTCAGGAACTGGCCCTGCAGGGGAGAACACACAAGTTCAAAATGACAGAACCAAAGCTATGATCTAGCATAGCCCCAGTGCTGCAGGCATCCAGCCTGTGTATGCAGAACTGCAATATTTCAGCACCAAGGCCATCAACCATAGTTATAAAAAGAGATGCTGTTCCTAACCTTGTCTGTTCCTAACCTTGAAATGACTTTGTTGCTTACCCATAACCTTGAAATGACCTTGGAATAACCCTCTTGTGGCTTACCCATAACCTTGAAATGACCTTGGATTAACCATCTTGTGGCTTACCCATAACCTTGAAATGACCTTGAGATGACCTACCTGGGCAGCGTACATGGGGTGCTGTCCCTGCTGTGGTGAGGACAGCCATAACCCATAACCTTGACATGACATTGAAATGACCTTCTCTTTGCCTATCCATGACCATGAAATGACCTAGAGATGACCTACCTGGGCAGCGTACATGGGATGCTGTCCCTGCTGTGGCGATGACAGCTCGACTGCGCTGTCCCCCGAAGACTGCCTGCTGATGTTCAGCTGCTGGAACTGTGGGGTCATGTCTCCCAACTGACCTTGGGACTCCTGCAAGGGCACGGAAATGTGTGTGATTTTTATGTTCATTTTAACAGAAATGCACCTGCAGTTCCAACAAAAGCTGCTAGGGGACCCAGACCTACACCACTTTTTCCTAAACCCATATGCTACCTGGCAATATACATGTACATGACCATAGCAATCATGACTGTATAATGGGCATAACAGTTCTGATAAAAGACTAAAAAATCACAAAGTCCCTCTAGAGTTCCAAAGAAGGCAGCTTAAGGCTCAAAATCACAGACATAACTTCATGACAATCCATCCATAGCTTCTTTTCAAAAACAAAATCACAAGCTACAATTGAAAACATTCTTGAGCAACATACAAATGTAGTACCCACCTCCCCCACCACGTACTGCCCCTGCCCCTGCACCATCTGTTGTTGCTGCGGCACATACGACGTGTAGATGATCGGCTGCTGCGGTGAGGGCTGCGTCGACATCTGCTGCTGCGCCTGAGCCTGCGGCTGCTGCTGGCCTCTCATTGGCTGTTGCTGGGCAACCATCTGCGGCTGGAATATCACGGGAGACCCGTCCGCATTCACGAAGGGCTGACCTGAAAGAGAACAGAATTTTTTTTTTTTGTAAAAAAAAAAAAGGAAAGAAAGGAAAGCAGCAGAAACAACAGGAAATCGAAGACAAATCATACCACTGTGAAGTATCTACTAGTAAAGACCCTACAGTTGTGTCCTAGGGAAAGGCACTGTACATGTACATTTCCTCACTCAACTCAGGTGAAAATGAGTACAGGCAGCTTCGGTTAGGGATGTCCTAAGGCTCTCAGATGGGATGTAAAGCCAGAGAGCCACACCTCAATCACATTAAAGATCTTACTGCACTTATCACAAAGAGTAGAGGCCTTTGCCAGCGTGAGTGGATCAAACCTTACAGTGTGATCTTATGCAGCTTGTACTTCCTGCACAAAACTGGCATGTTTTGTCTACAGGCGATTTATTGGACATGCAAAAGAAAAGAAAACTGTACCAGTCTGTGGGTTGATGAGCACACTACCCGGCGGGATCTGTGAGATGTCTGACACGGCCCACAGTACTCCCGTACCCGTTCCTGTTCCAGAGAAACTGGGGACAGAACTCGCTTCACTCCCTCCTGAAGGAAATACAATGAACAAGAAAATCAAAGATTTCTGTCTTCTGGGAAGTATCTTGGGTTTTCATATATTATTTTGTACGTAGGTTAATTTTGTTGTACCCATGTATTTGTCTGTATATCTACATGCAGTTTTAGACCTTACGAAAGTCGCCATACTTTTGTTGTGTCAATAAAGTTCACTGTATGTTGTATGATCATTGGAAATTACCCTTTATTATTTTGATTATCACCCACACTCTATCTCGTATTACTGACTCAGGAACTTGCTACACCATCCCTCTAAGTGTAGAATCCAAACATATATACAAAGCATAAATTAGCTCCACCCAAAATAACACTTCCAGGAAGTAACTACTAGTAGTCAATTCAAGGTACATGTACACCTGATTCATTGAATGCAAAAATCTTCAAAGCCACACTAATTCAATTCGCTGGTCCTCTGATTTTAAATGATTTGAAAGTAATAATGCTTAAGACTGGAACATGAACAGAGTCTTAGAGGAAATTCTGTATCTTCGTACATACAGTTTTAGAAAGGTAATAATTGTACTGACCTGACCAGGTGACTTGTGTTGTGCTAACAGACGTGGGATAACTTACCTGACCAGGTGACTTGCCCAACGTCTGACTCCTCGCTATAGAGCCACTGGCATCCGACCCTACAGGAGAAAACATCATCATCATCAGTCCTACTCTATAAAGGTGTAGCAGACAAAGTTTAGTTTGTCCTTCTTTACTACAATGCTGAGAGAAGTTCATGTCCTTCTGAAGGTTTCTGTGACTGTTGAGTTTTTTAATACTGCAGTGAGGAAACAAGAAGTCTTCTGAACTGTTTTCTTCATCAGTCAATCAGACAACAGGACATCTTTTGATTTGCTTTTGTTGCACAATTACACAAACAAGCAAACCTTGTTTGCTCCAGATGTCTTATACTTAGGAACAACAGTGTGGTGTGCTGGATGTCAGTTAGCTTGAGGAATGAATCTGCAAACATGGGGGTTCTCCCGAAGCTGCTTGCTTTCGTGACAGAGTAAATAAATAAACAAACAAACAAACCTTGTTTGGACAGCTTCCCGCTGCCTCTGCCGCTCCTATCTCCACTGTCACCCCGTGCTAACATGGGCGTTCCCCCGAAGCTGCTTGCTTTCGTGACAGAGTAAACTAAACAAACAAACAAACAAACAAACCTTGTTTGGAGAGTTTCCCGCTGCCTCTGCCACTCCTATCTCCACTGTCTCCCCGTGCTAACATGGGGGTTCCCCCGAAGCTGCTTGCTTTCGTGACAGAGTAAACTAAACAAACAAACAAACAAACAAACCTTGTTTGGAGAGTTTGCCGCTGCCTCTGCCACTCCTATCTCCACTGTCTCCCCGTGCTAACATGGGGGTTCCCCCGAAGCTGCTTGCTTTCGTGACAGAGTAAATAAATAAACAAACAAACAAACAAACCTTGTTTGGACAGCTTCCCGCTGCCTCTGCCGCTCCTGTCCCCACTGTCTCCCCGTGCTAACATGGGGGTTCCCCCGAAGCTGCTGGCTTTCGTGACGGTTGGCCTCTGGATGCGGTTGGTGCTGGTGTCGGAGTCGGTGCTGCTCCAGGGCCGTCCGTAGTCATGCCAACGAGGCGTGTCCTCCTGACTGCTCTGTCGGCTCGACCGGCTTCTGGGATGAAAGGGACAAGACACAGATAGAACCACACAGATCAACAACCAGTACAACAACAAAGTACAACAACGTACAACAAGTACAACAACACAGATCAACAACCAGTACAACAAACATGTACAACAACGTACAACAAGTACAACTGTATACAACCTCACAAATCAACAACTGGTACAACAAACATAACATGTACAACAGTTACTGTTAAAACATGTACAACCAACCACACACTCAGATACAACCACACAGATCAACAACCGGTACAACAATGTACAACAACACAGATTAACAACCAGTACAACAACATACAACACAGCTAGAACCACACAGACATGTATCAAGAGGTTGTACAACAACATACATGTACATGTACAAGAAACAACATACAACATGTACATCAGATACAATCACACACTTAGATAGAACCACATGCATCAAGAGCCGGTACAGCGAACTTGTACAACCAAACAGATACAACCACAAAGAACAACCAAGAACTGGTGCAACAACATACATGTACATGTGAAACAACACTCACTGTGGTTTATTTAACCACAAACACCAACACATTGTCAAATACAACCACACCAATCAACAAAGATACAACCACAATTAAAGATCAAGAGCTGTCAGATACAACCTTATACCTGTAGATCAAGATTTAGTACAGCAGCACAGATACAACCACACACCAGATAAAACAGATACAACACACAGACCAACACAGATACAACCACTCCAATCACATCAACACAGAAGACCTCAAAACATCAAAACACAATGTAAAATTCATACAGACATCATGCAAAAACTGTACACCACCAACAACTATCATCAAAACTACGAAATCCAGGACGACAATCACACTAGAGGAAGATTCAGCTTTCAACATGATTTAAGAGAAAAAAAAACATGCCTAAATTGCATGCGTAACAGACGAATTCTGATCTTTAATTTACATTTAACAAATAATTCCTGGACTTTCTTTTTCCTGCACTTGTCACCACCGTGAATATATAGTTCTGTGAACATGTCCACTTTTCTCAGACCGTGAAATTTTGCTACCGTGAACATAAAGTGAATTACAGTATTATCATAGCTACAAATGTACATATCAAAAGTATTGAGTACGATGTTGACCCTTACCTGAAGCCTGAGTCTGTGTCTACAGAAGATGTTGACTGTGGGAAAGAAATGGAGACCTAGCTTTACTGTTAGTGTCATGATCAGAGCGTGGGCAGGGCAGGCCATTGCTGGATCCACAGTACAACACAACAGATATACAATACATCAGGCCTCGAAATTAACTTACTATTGTCCCAGCACTGGCCCTATATTAATTTCAACCGTCCCGAAGTGAGGATGAACTTTCCCAGCCTGTTTTTCGGAAGTATTGTATGACTTTTGTATGACAAAATAGGGCATTTGAGGACTTTTCCGGAGCCAAAAGCCAGGATGTGTGACTGGTGAACAAAAGAAGGGCTGACATTCTGTGGTTGATTATTTTTCTATTGTCCCCAAAATGTCCCAAAGTGTCTTTATAGTTGTCCCGGCCAAACGTTTAGTGGTCAGTGGCCATCGGGATACCGTTAATTTCGAGCCCTGTACATACAATGGTTTCTACATTGAAATGCATTTTTGTTGATTCTATGGAAATTTAGTGAGTCATTTATGTAAGGTTTGTACAGTTAGCCCTCTAGATCTATACAAATAAAGGACTGGTACAAAATCCAGCAATATAATAGACATTTTACAAAGATGGACATTCTTTCATCAAATGCAGTACAGTGGGAACAATTATGAATTTCAGCAATGAGTATCTGAGTGAGTGAGCGCAATGAGTAACACAGATTAAATTTTCTAAATGACAGCAAAGAGTTCTATAGGGTTTTCTCATCATAAATGAATACTAAGATATAAGATATACTTCTTATCATCAATTTCCTAAAGTTACAGAGTGCCATTGAGGACCTTTCCGGAAAGCCAGTATATTTCTGGACCTACAAGATGAAAGGGGGATGACAAGTTCGATTTGGTCAAGAAGATGACACACAAAACGAAGACAAATGAAACCTGGTGCCAACATGTGATGTGGAGAGAGAGAAGGAGGAGAGAGAAACAGGCTCTGTGCATGGATTCAACAAACAGGATGAAAACACAACGTCCAGTTCCAAGATCTTATCTTTGAAGTTCATCTGTGTTGGTAGAACTCATTATGAAGCAAGTTTAAACTGTAATTTTTTCCAACACAACAAATTAGACTCACCCAAATTTTAAACGGTACAACTCCAGTCTTTATCAAGGAATGAGCAATCCACCACTTCCGTGACGTCACACAGATAACACACGTGACTCCGAGAGCGGTGGATTCCTTGACAAATACTGGAGTTGTACAGTCGAAAATTTGGGTGAGTCTAATTTGTTCTCACTGTTGGAAATTGCAGTTTAAACTTGCTTCATAATGATTTCCAAGATCGCCAAAGATAAAGGCACCGCCCCTGACGCAACGCCAAAAACGTTTTGGATGGTAAAGAAGAGCACGTCGGCAGAACGTACTGCACCTGCGCAAAACCCGTAATGTATTGCGCATAGCACTTCAGCAGAAGTTTCATATAAGATTGTATTCTGCATATAAGGTTTAACACTGCATCTGTAGTTTCCAAATGTTATGTTAGAAAAAATATCATCTGCATCAGGCGAAATTCTGATGCAACGTTGACCAAAAATCCAACGAAAACCGTGAAAAGGGGGGGTTTCGCACAGGCGCAGTACGTTCTGCCGACGTGTTGCAAAGAAGGCATTACTGACATCACCAGCTAGCAAGTTGACGGAATTACAAAAACAGGGACACTACAGAGTCCACCACAAAACGGTTAAAAAAGGAAACAAAAGAGGTGATGCAGAAACTCACATCTTGGTTGAAAATCCTTGCACGAGCCTTTTCATACTCCTCCTCTCTTTCCTCTATTGACTTGCTCTTCTTGTCTTCCCGCAGGGCCGGTATTCTGTCTTTCGAAATCTGTAGAAAAAAGTTTGGGACGTGTTCTTGATCTGTATGACTGTGTATAGCTAGTATAACCACCCTTCAGCGTAACATTTTGTATTCTGTATTCTGGATCTGCATAGCTGGAATAACTGACTTGTCACATTTAACCAACACCAAGCTATTCTGTCTTTCGAAACCTGGAGAAAAAAGTTTGGGTCTGTATATCCGGTATAACTGTCCTTTGGTGTAACACCAGTATCTGGATCCATATACCTGGTATAACCAACCTGTTACATCTAACCTTTGCACATCTAACTGTAAGCTATTCTGTCTTTTGAAATCTGTAGAACAAAGTTCAGGAGGTGTTCTGTATCTGGATCTGTCTGTTTGGTACAACTTCCCCACACCAGTTTCTGTATCTGCATCTGTATAGCTGGTACTGGATACAGCTCTGGATACAATGATACTAATTCTACACGGGGCCGACATCGTCTACCAGATATCTTTGACCCAGTGTTGATGTCACACTTCAAAGAAGCCACGTGACAAGCCTCACTGGGTCAGTCTACTGAGGAAAACCAGAGTGACTGGTTGAAAACTCTAGATGAGAGAGTTTTTTGTGTTGGACCAAAAGTTTTAACTTTAAACATGTAACTACATGTACCAACACAGATGAACTTGCATGATAGTATGATGTATCCATGTTGACTGACCTCCTCCTTTTCTGAGCTGCTCTCTCTGTCCCTCTGTAGAATCTGTCTTCTCTGTGGCTCTTCTCCTCTACTGTTGTCCTTTATGTGTTCACTAAATTTCAGGTCTGGTCTGTGAAGGCAAAAGGAGAGGAAAATTTGTGTTACAGTTCGAGAGAAAGTTAAAAAAACATTATTGCAGCTATAGCACAGTGACTGCTTTTCATTGTTTAACCCTGTCCTTAGTGCTGAAACTATGGTTATAGTTAATCTGTCCTTTACTAAATTTCAGGTCTGGTCTGTGGAGGCAAAAAGAGAGGAAAACATCATGTTTACAGAAGGAAAACATATTGTTTTTGCTCAGTTTCTTCCTCTTCTTCTTCTTCAAACAGTGACCTCTGACCTGACCAATGACATGGTTTGTTGATGCCTGTCACCATGGTGACTGGTGTTGGGTTACATAAGTCCTGTCTATAGTAATCACTTGTCCACATAGAACAGATCTTTTGGGACAGTTTTGACTGTACTTCATAAGAATATAGGATATGAATATATAAGAATAATATAAGAACTTACATTCTAGTATTACACGTCTTGTTAATGATAACAGCCTTCCCCGTCGAGTCCACGTTGTGGTCCATGCCAAAATAAGCAGCGACTCTGTGCACTAACATTCTATGGTACGACGTCATTGGTGGAAATGTTTTCTGGTGTGTCCTGAGAACCAATGAGAGACACCGTTACAACATTATATAAATATTATGTATTAATATTAAATACATGTATTGTCTTTAGTTAACCATGATGTACTAGAAAAACTCTTGTAAAATTCGTATACAAATGTCTAAAGAAGAGAGAAGAAACATGTACTTCTTAGATATAGATAGAACATAGCACAGTTTGCCTAATAATTTTTGGAACTTGAATGTGCACTTAGCCCCACTTGGGCATGAATATACAATAAACTTCATTGTCATTGTCATTGTTACAACATTATAGCCTATAGGCAACAAACACAGAAGAGGATCTTAAATTGTATAATGCATTACAAGCTTGCATTGTTAACATTAACAAATTCCCATCTTATAAATGATAAAAAGTAAGTCAAGATTTACATGTACATTGTAAATATGACCCAAATTACTGTTTCTAAAGAGAACTTATAATAATAAGACTATAGCAGACTGTAAAATGAACATCACTTTCTTCAGTCTACAAAGCCTTTTCAACACTACTTTGAAACTTTATTCACACACCTTCTTGCAGACAATAAGTCTGAATTGGTAGGCATTTACAATGAAATAGGTTATAAATAACTCAATAATAATAATAATTATATACCCAAGAAAATGTATACTTACTTCTCCTCGTTTATTAATTCTATACAGTCTTTCTCTAGCTTCAAAAGCATCATTCTATCTCTGTAAGAAAAGTCAATAAAGAAATGGTTACAAACAAGATTGTAGTAAGGGCACATTATTGCTTACTTAATCTAGACATCCATGTACTGTGCATATGGCAATTTTAACAGCAGCTATATTTTATTTCAAACCAACAAAACCAAATATTAAAAATTTCTCAGCCATTTCTGTACTGACAAAAGTAGAAAAATTATTTATAATACATGGTTGATCCTACTTGAAGTTTGTATACAGAATTTATACTTTATGAAAAGTGTTTTATGTAAAATGAACTGACCTAGGGTTATTTTTGAGAGTATCTACAATAAACTGCTGCAGGTCCACGCCTGTAAAATCTGTGTACTCCTTATCTTGACTGGAATCTGTGGAGAAAAAGAAAAAAAATCATTATACAGATTTGAAAGTGAAGAATTGCCCTGAGAAGATGACAGACGGTCGCCAAAACATCAGCTGAATAAAAGACTTGGTTGTGTAGAAAACGTCTCTAACTCATGGTCAGTGACCACCTCTATAAGCCGGCCATCATTCTGGTCAAAATGACAGCTTTTTCTCAGGCCCAGTGATCTCGAACCAGTTTAGCTCATTGAAGAGCTAATCTTCCACTGGTTGTGACAGAGAAGCCAGACACTATGTACAGTATTTACAGGTTCATTGTACCGGGGAAATTCCCCTAGCTCTTTTTGACAAGCGCAATGAACAGTGGACCACAGCTTAACATCCCGTCCTAAGGACTGAGACCCTAAACAGTAGCGTGCATGTCGGGTGAGCGGCAATGTACCGCCAAGGACTCGAACTCCCAACCTCTTAGTCCAGAGGCAGGATTGCTAACCACTGGACTACGCACGCTACTCATACAGATTTAACAGATATAGATGATGCCATGTCATAATAAACCATAATTTCTATTAAACTTACAGCTTGAAAGGCTGGCTGTACTTCTGCGTGGATTCGAACTCCCAACCTCTTTTATTCCAGAGGCAGGATCGCTAACCTCATATAATAAAACCATTCTACTCAGCTTACCTCTTGAAAGGCTGGCTGTACTTCTGGGCGTGGTGAGCCCGCTACAGGCACTGTCTCCACTCTCCTGGGACTTCAGCTCCTTGGTAGGCGACTGTTTCTGTGGGGGACACAGGATGGACAAGTTTGATATGGGTTATGAGAATATGAAAGAGAATATGAATAAAATCATTTTTTGACATCTATGTTGGCCTTATGTACCAAACCTATATAGCTACCAGCATGCTGAATTTCATTTTCCTCCAGGTTCTAATTACGAAAATATCGACGATTTTTAGGTGTTTGGAGAAGAAGAAGAGGAAGAAGAAGAGAAATTGAGTAAAAACAATATGTTTACCATTTTCTTCAGTAAACATAAATCTAAATAAATGAAGGTAAGATATCCGGGAAATAAGATACCAATTGACTAGTACCAGTTACCCAAAATATGGTCTGTATAGATTTTGAAAACAGTCAGATATTTTAGGTAGCATCCACTTGCTTTAATCAGTAACAAATGTCTGACCATTTTCAAGATCTACTAGTATCCTTTTGCTTGAGTACCTGTCACGTTGATCTTGAAAGCTCAAATAAAAACAATGAACAATTGAACTACTCTTCCACTGAGAGGAAAGATAGACGCCGAGTACAGTATATGAACTTGGTAGTCTTGAAAAGTTCAAACCCTGAAGAGACTACCAAATTTGGCAGTCTTTCCATGGCTTCAACTTTGAACTCTCACCTGTTCAACTGTGGGAGGGTCAGGGGTCGCGGGGGGTGAGGTGTCATCGTGGACGGCCCGACTTCTCACCAACAGCTTGATCTTTGGGTGAGCCTGCAAAACAACAACACAAGTTTGTTTCTTTGTTTGTTTGTGTCAAAGTTGGGATATATTAAAATTTAAATATATAGATAATAAACACGTCGGCAGAATGTACTGTGCCTGCGCAAAACCCTGTTTTTCCACAGTTTTCGTTGGATTTTTGGTCAATGTTGCATTAGAATTACAGGTAATCTTGTGTTAATGACTCAGAGCTACATGTAGAACAGGACGGCTTTCAGGCTCTCAATGGGTGGGCAGCTAAAGAAGTTTTTTTCCTCAATAAACCTTTCACACCACACACACAGGCAGTACAAACCTTGCCCTTCCCCCTCCCTCTCTCCGAGGACGACATCCTAGCAACGCCGTCGCCACGGTGATCGGCCCTGCCCGACGACGGCTTCTCGTAGCGACGCCCTCCCGGCTCCTCCCACTCATCGTCCCCATCGTGGTGCTCCTCCACTAGCACTTGGATCTGATTGGTGTTGCCGCGGAAACAATCACCGGGGACAACCGTTACCATGGGAACTGATGTTTACAAGCAAAACTCACTACTAAAATTTTATCACAAAAACAATTACAAGAGCTTGGTTTCCAGTTTCAAATTACTGTTTTCTAGATTCTAGTCCTACTGCAAAATGCCACAAAAACATACAAGACTGATAGCTTGTATGCCAGTTTCAAATTACTGTTTTGTAGATTCTAGTACAACTGCAAAATGACACAAAACCATACAAGACATAGCTTGTATAACTGTTTTCTACATTCTTTAACGGCTGCAAAATGCAGACTAAATGCTTGACTGAGAAGGATTTGGTTTCTCCAGTTAAGAGCGGGTGTAAAAATAATAATCATGACGCAAAGCAGCACTCTGGCATGGCTTTTGACGTCAGTACCTCACACTGAAGGACACAGAGAGAAGAGGAAAGTATGCGGCTGCGGCTATATAAAGGCGGAAGCCTGTTGTGCTCCACATGTAGTCATATTTAGCACACAAACTAGGGCAAAGGTCAGTGTCTGATAACAGCACACAAAACAGAAAACACTCATCTAAAAGGGCTGTGAGTTTTGCTTCATGACAAACAAGAAGAGAAAAAAATAAAAACCACAACATGCTGCAGCTTCAAACAAATTTTTTTTCTCTGACCAGGAAAAGTTTGAGTGAGTGAAATTGTATATCATAGATTAGGCACTGTGAAAGCTCATGCAGATGGGAGATACCACCAGTCCAAGTGCTAGGGGAAGGTACAGCCTGTGCTCAGCAGAGCTAGTAGTCCTTGCAAGCATCCGCACTGTCTCATGCATGCTCACGCAATTTGTGTAATCCCAGAACAAAACCGCTACACGACAGATTGCACACACATACATGTACAGCTGAGTTAGGTGTTGTTAGATGACATAGAAATTTTAATAGGTGTGCCACAACAGTGATAGGCGTTAATGTTAGTGCCAATGGTTTATGGGGGAAAATGTATGGGGAAAATGCATCAACGACAGCAAAAAATATAATGAAAAACTTTTTTCTCGATCTGGCAATGTTGAACTTTTCATATTTGATCCTGTTTTAACAAATTTGCCATCATGAAAAGAATAGATGAAAATAGGGTTGGATGATGAAAATTTTAATTTCTAAAACTTACTAAAACTTTTCGGTGTATAGATTGAACATTTTCTGTGCTTCTGCTATTCATACTTTTTGGGAGATTCCTGACTTGTTTAATATTCTACTGCTGATTTGTTTCATTGAGCTGTAGAAATTTTAGTGCTATTTGAAAGTGTCAGAAAATGCTTCAATTTTGATTTAAAAAAAAAAAGTTAACGTGATTCAATGTAATGCGAATGAGAATACCATTGTGATGAAAGACACGTGATGACATCAAGTGAAATACTCTACTGTGCTTATTTGCATAAATTTGCATTATCTACTGTGCTTATTTGCATAAATTTGCATACTTGTGATCCATCCTTTGGCGTGGTAGCACCCTCTTGGCTGCTCTCTCGGGACAGGGAACCTTGTCTGGAGCTGGGTTGGTCACTCGGAGTCTCAGCTGTCTCCCCCTCCCCGGGGATAATGGTCTGGTCCACCGCGACCTCTGGGTCGGAGGTCACACTCACAGACAGAGAAGGTGACTCGGCTTTCTCCATTGTGACTTGTGGTCAAGGGCAACTGAAGGGCATTCAAAGGAATCAAAATTTTTGTTACGCAAGAAAATATTTACTCCTTGACAAGCAACCACGGATAGATTTTGAAGACTGTCGGGTACTATTTTTCTCAGTGTCAGAGTGACTGTAACTCGTGTATGTTATTACCTGGATACCTAACCTTCATTGGCAAAACATAATAAAGTATACAATTAGTTAATACATGTAATCATAATGTAGCTCAACACCACAGGGTGTCTACTACAGCACCAGTTAATGAGTGAATGAATGAATGGTTTATTCAAAATTACCATGGTGACAGACGTCTGGTCCAGGTCATTAACCTTATTTGTTTGTAAAAGAAAAGGAAGAAACAGAGCAAAAACAATATGTTTCCTTTTGAAAGGATAAACATAACAAAGATTCTTACCAGTGGCGACAGCTGGGAGAAGAAGAAACAGAGCAAATACTATGCAATACGTCTTCATTTTGCAAAGAAAAACATAACAAAGACTCGTACCTCTGTGTGTGTTTCCTAACTATGAGCGGGTTCAGAGGCAGATTGCGCAGCGCAGCATGATGTGGAGATGTACATGTAAGGCAACCCAGTCGGTAAGCACTAGTGATGAGTGGAGCATGCTCGGGGGGTCACCACTGTCAAGGCATCCATGGCTGCTGTACTCCAATCCCTGGCTTTACTGCGTCCACATTACGACCAAAGACCTGCAGGGAAAGAACAGGTGTCATCACGAGAAGTTCAAACCAAGTAGCTAATGTGCGGAAGCTCCTTGTTCAAACAAGGCCTTCTAAAGCACACGAGGGACATGAATATGTAAAGAACATACGATGTAATATAAATGTATATGTAATTGTATGTTGATGTATAGTTATGTTTTATGTACTCTCTCCTGGAAGAATAGCTGCCACCCTTGGGTGGGCAGCTAAAGGAGAGTTTTGCCTCAATAAACCTCAATAGGCACATTTGTAGCTACATGTAAACAACCAACAATCAGTCTACAATCGTATGCTCTTTGCTTCACCTTCACCCAACCTGCACTTATTCATGTACTGGGTTTAATTTATATTACAATTAAAATGTATTTCAGTAAGTGTTTGTGCATACTCCATGCACAATACATTCCCTGCAGACCAGGTAAAACAGTTTATTTCCTAGCTATGCAGTGAGAAAAACGTATCTCAAGCCCTGCAAAATGAATAATGAGCACTGCTTTGACGTCAATCTATCTAACCCCTCCATGACGCACATGCTACTGTATTAAAACCCTATTACCCGTCATCGAGCAGCCGAAAGCCCAATTCATTCCTCCTTAACAGATTTAGGAATGAAAATTCTAACGGAGTGCGCATTCAACGTTTGAGGTCATCGTATTGAGAGGAAATCATGCCGAAAATGGCAGCGTGTTGACGTCAGAGAATCTGCTGAAGTATAACGTCGTGTTCGGATCGAGTCCATTAACGCGAGGCTATCACACACTTAAACACACACTTCATAACGTTCAACGTCACTGATGTGCTGTCCAGATTGTGAGCAAGTATCAACGACAAACCGGAGGACTGTGTTTTTGCCATATTTCTGGCCACAAAAATTCACTTCCTTGGATATCAGACATATCATCAAAGTTAAAATATTCAGTAAGAGGACAAAATGAAAATGGATGGTTGGGAGAAAAACTTGAATCAAGGATGAAATCAAGCTTCACTACACATGGCTAAAACAATGCCCACAACATCATGAGTATATCTTTCCCAATAACTAATATGCATTCCTAGCTCTAATTGCTATAGCTATAGGTACAGATCAGCTAATTAGATAATCTAGATTACATTTTTACAAGAATTTTAACTAGGTAAAGTTTTAATTTCCTTTACTCAAATTGCAACAGCAATATATACAGTGGAGCACAAGGCTAATGTTGTGCTCCTCACACAGTACTGTATTGCAACACTAAATAAAAGCAACAAATGCAATGAATATACCTGTCTGTATAAATACAGTTACACTGTGACAGGAAACAATACTGTAACAGTAATGCTTATATACTATATGCAAGAAATCAAGATTAGTTACAGTTACTTTAGTAGCTTAAATAGAGCCTACATCGTCAATATTTTCCCCCACCTACTCACCCTGCTGCTTGTGCAAGCCCTGATGACGTCATACCTGTCAGTGTGGGATATTTTGGTTTCAGAAACTAAGCAAAGGATTACCCTTGTACTATTATGTTAATGCAAGAAATCAATTACAACATTGTGCTACACTGGGCTAAAACAAAGCCTTGTACCATCAGTATCTCCCCACTATAACCATTGCTCCCTCTAATTGCTATCAATGGTTTCTAATTTTGTTATCATATTACACATATAGCTCAGGTTATATATATGACCTCAGTTTAACTAAATTAAGCTCTTACTTCCAGAATTTGCTACAATTCCTATAGATAATTCCAATTCGATACCTATTAGATTTGATTATCAATACATGTAGTACATATCAATATCAAGATTCGCTACCCTTGGCAAAACATTAGCTACATAATCAGTATTTTCCCCACTAACCGTAGCCCCTTGCTCTGCTGCTTACACAAACCCAATGACGTCAGAGTTGTCAGTCTGTGATATTTTGGTTTCAGAAACTAAGTAAAGGATTAGCCTTGTACTACATAGTTACATGTACTATCCATTATGGCAAGAAATCAGGATATGCTACACTTATATTTATAAAAATAAAACAAGGCCTATATCATCAGTATATCCCCACTAACCATTGCTAAATCTAATTACATGTACTATGGTTTCAGATTTTGTTATAATACCTAGTTAAATATACAGTATGATCTCAATTTAACTGAATTTCATTGCTAGAATTCGATGCAGTCACAAGGATCAAGAATCGCTACTACATGTAGTACCCTAGGCAAAAACATTAGCTACATAATCAGTATTTTCCCCACTAACCGTTGCTACCCGCTCCAGTGCTTACCCAATCCCGGATGACGTCAGCCCTGTCAGTGTGTGAGAGATGAGCCCAGTCGTTAATCCCCGGCGCACTGGGTCAGATACAGGTCGTGATGCAGAATATGAATGAAATATCCTTCCTCGTTTTTTTATGTCGTTCCTGACGTCAGGAACCACGTAATGTATCCAGGGGGCACGTCCCCAGCGCCAAAAATGGACAGAGAAAGGTGATACCCACAGCAGCAGAATTGCTGGCATAGCAGAGAAGGAGACACTCTGCCTGGTTCTAGTGGCAGGGGTATATTAGTACTTTGGCCCTGGAAAATTTATCAATCAAATCACATGCATTATCGTATACCAAACAGAAAATGTCATGCCTCTGATTTTTATTTTATTTTATAGATTTGCTGGCATAACAGAGAGGAGCCATAGCCTGATCTGGAAGGGGAAATTAGTTAGGCCAAGGAAAATTTATCAACAAATCACAAGATTTAGTCTTCTTTGATACAAAACATAAAATCTGTCATATCTGTATATTATTTGTAAAAATTCTACAGTTTCAGCCTATATTTTATATAATGGATATCCTCCTGGCAGGTGTAAATTATATTTACTATGGCCCTGGAAAGTTATCAATTACATCACAAAGTTAAACGTTCTTGTATACACAACTTAAAATCTGTCATGCCTGTAAATCATCTTCTAATTGATGCAGTGTATTTTACTAAGCAATATCCTTCTAACGCATAGAAATTGTACGATAGGAAAAATGTCCTAGGAAAAATGTAAACAAGGTCTGCAAGGAGACACTGTTCTAACCACACTGTGAACATCATCTCAGCACACTACTGTGTGTGTCTTACACAGTCCTGATAATGAGGAAACCACTGTCAATAACAACAAACCTGCTGCACCCAAAACAAAAACAGTGCCTAGAGTGTCAGGAGTATCTAGTGTGAGACATAATAGATTGTAGTACAGTATGTGCTGTCATACCAATTTGGCCATTGGTTTTCGGACCTTGAAAATAATACTGAATGCCATTGGGAAGATGAACATGAAAAACAGACATTGGCATTGGAATAATTATTTCTATCACACAGTGACTGTGATTTAAAAAGCAGAAATTAATCATCAATACAGACTCTGAGAAACAATAATTGCAGTTAGTATTAGCAATCTGTACACTTGAATACTGTAAATTCATGGGCCTTAATTTTGTGGAAGTGTGTACTTGTGAAAAGGTTTTTACGTTTTAAGATCATGGACAAAATAATAGTACTGTAACAGTTAGCACTAATTTGCGGTACCAATGTTATGATAACTTCATGGTCTGGCATAAAAAGCTGAAACAAAGTCACAGCGAATATTTAAAGACTTACCGTATCCAGACTAACATAGTTTGATGATCAAGGATAAACATATCAAATACGGACCATGTCAGCATAAGGGAGTTTCCCACAGCATCGCACTTGACCTTGCCACATATACAACAGAACACGTCTAAAATTACCCTCCCCAGTTGGCATTGACCTTGTCAGTCCATATCTGCTGTGTTACACATATTAGGAACAAAAACCTGAGCTATATTTACTGCAAGGAATTATAACCTGAGTGAGTTCATGATGTCAAGAAAGCTTCCATTCCAATTTACCAATTATTTAAAGTACTTGAATCTGCTATAAGACAGTATGACATAAGAAATAAAATTTGATATTAATCTGGCATTGTACCAATGCATTGTACAACTGCAGCCAAATGACACAAATTCTTCACAGCTGACGCAGATTATTAAAAATAATGTTAACCTCTGCCCTTATGACCTCGAGGAAAAGCGTCCTACAGGTCATTTTGAGTTTCAGATTAATAAATTACGTTTGAAACAAACAAACAAACAAACAAACAAACATACAAACAAACATCTGACCGTTTCCAAAATCATATACAGTTGCTTGAGTAACTGCTTTTTGGCGTATCGTATTACCTGGATGTCTAACCTTCATCGACGAAACAAACATCTAATCTGAAATGATACTATTATCAGTACTAAGTACAAATGTACAACATGGTACAGTACTGAGAGTGATTTAACATGAAAATGAAAGCTAGCTGTTCATACGTCATCTATTGCTATGTCATGTTGATTTTTATGGTTTATCAATTATTTATCCAGTCTGGCTAGACAAACGTAATGATGGCATCCTGATTGTTATTTCCACTGAGAAATGAAACAATTTTATAATTTAGGTGTACAGAATTAAGATTTGGGTGCAGACAACAAAGAATAAATGAACCCAAATTCTGTATCTAACTTCAAACTTTGAAACAATAATATGACAGATATATATGACGTATACTGTTACGGTAAATATATATTGTAAGAATATCTAGATGCATCCGTACCGGGGTACCCACAGGCAAGATTACAAAATTTATATAGGTGTCTACCTCCATATGGATTTTGGTCCTGGTTTGTTCAGTTCACTCCAAAATCGCTGTAGGTTATTGGTCCAAAGACCCTCAAATTCAAGCGCTTGCCCCTCTACGTTTGTTTATAAAAACATAGCTTCTTGTCCCTGAAGTTTTCCCTAAGCTGCTCTCTAGATCACTTGTTACCCTGACATCTACCATAATTGCATGTTTACGAAACGTACCTACCTCAACCCAGGCTGGTCAGTGCACTACTGGCAATTCCTCCAGCCTAGTGAGTCACGTTTGTGTTCCACCGGGGGTTACCCCCCCTAAAT